CGGAGGTGCTTGTCCTCTCCCTGGTGCAGGGTTTGCTTGTTGAGTTTCATTTCAGACTTCAGTATAGGTTAGTTTTGCGGTGTGTGCCCTGCCTGCCTTGCTGGGAGGAGGCTTTGAACACCCCCAGTCCTCCCACAGCTGCTTTCTGTTCTGCTCCCCGGCCCACCCCAGCCATTACCTGCCCCTTCCCTCCTCCCGCAACCCCCTTAGTCCCATCCCACTACCTTTAGACACATTTTTGACCTAAGACTCAGCATGAGGCTAACAAAATCCTCCAAGGACCCTAGGACCAGCTGTCCCACAGGTCCTGTGTGTCCTCACATCACCACGGGCTCCTCTTCCGTGTGGGATCCAGCTTCTGCCCGTGGCTGCGGGGCTGGACAGGGCTGGAGAGAGCCGGGGCAGCGCCTGGCCCCCCACTGCTTGCCCAGCTGGGAGGGTCCCCTCTCAAGTTGCCCCTTCGCCATGGAGGGAGCCGTGAAGGGACCCCGCTGTCTTGTCACTGGGTCATATTGCACCAGGAGCCGGTGCAGGGTTGGGGTGTTGCTGAGCCCCCCCCTCCCCACACCATGTTGTCCCATCACCAAGTGTCCCATCCCCAGCCCAGTTACACGCCAGATACAGAAGCTAAGAGGGAGCATTAACCCGTGAACCGGAGCCCCTGGAGCTCTGTCAAGTCCCAGTCCCATGAGCAGAGGGTGGGAGTGACCCTGAGGCCGTCCCCAGTCCCCGCTGGGGCGCCGCGGCCGTGGGAGGGAAGCGTCAAAGGTGGCAGAGGAAGCAGTAGGACAGAGCCCAGCGTTCTCCTTTCCTGCGTGGGTGGCTCGCACCCGGTGTCTGCGTCAGGAAGCCCAGCGTTACCCATGCGCTGGCCACCCAGCTTCACGGTGAGGGCCAGCACGGGGGTCGGAGCCTCGGCAGCGCCCGGACATGGTGGGGCTGCACGGCACAGCGACAGAGACAAGCAGGGTTGCGCTTGCTAACCTGTGCTGTACAAATGTCCCAGCCGCGGGGCACTGTGCAGGGCGGCTGCCGGCGAAGGAGGGGCCGTGC